GGCTGTGATTGGTTCGGCTCTGCGCTACTTAATTTGGATCGGCTGACCTTTTTTTTTTTTAAGAGAACAAGAGCGGCGAGGTCTATCGCGATAGCTTAATTTCTCTATCGAGTAAAAGTTATATCGCGATACATATCGTTATTGTTCTATCGCCCAGCTCTGTAACTTTGTAACTTTTTGCTTTTTGGAAATCGAATTTCCCAGTGGAACCCACCCGAGGGATTAATAAAGTTCTATCTTATCTTATTTGCACTTACAAATACGGCATTCAAATACGCCTTTTATAGCTATAGTGCATATGTCATAATACCTCGTGTTCCCTGTTAGAATGCGTTTCAAGTGTTATGTTCAATTTGAAGTACACCTCAGTGACTGTTAACAAGCGAGCATAGAGACACTGGAGTTGTGAACTGTTTTCCGCTTTGTGTTGCATGAAGGTGTCTTCTTGTCAGTTCAGCCTGTTTGCACAAAATAATAAATGACTAATCCCATCCCTTTTTGCAAAGGGTCTGGCTCTCATAAGCAGTGTATTAGGTTGTTTTAGAGAAAAAGAAATGGTAACGCAAGAAGATACATTACATAACTTTGTTTTTTTAAAGTTATGTAAAAGCATTGTTTTGTATTTAGTGCCTTTTGTATCCTTTTCCATACTTCTTTGTATCAACTGATAGAGCGTAACGCTCTGATCACTGGCACGTGAAGTGAATAACACTCATCATGGCACCTGTTAGGAAAATAGGCAAGTGTAAGGGAGTTTGAGTGAGTTTAACAGAGCCCATGTTGTGATGTTAGATGAGTGGGTCAGAGCATCTCCTAAACTGTAGCTCTTGTTGGGTGTTCCTGATCTGCAGTGGTGAGTGTCTATTAAAAATGGTAAAGGAAAGAACAGTGGGTAACCCACGACAGGGTCATGGGTGCTCAAGTTTCACTGATGCACATGGGGAGTGAAGGCTAACCTGTGTGGTCTGATCTAAAAGACAAGCTGATAGAAGGGTGTCAGAATACACAACAGTGGGCACATGAGCATGTGTGTCGCTTATCTTGGGAACACCTGGCACCAGGATGCACTATGAGAAAAAGACAAGATGGTGGAGGCTTTGATGCTTTGGTCAACGTTATGCTGGGAAACTTTGGGTCCTGCCATCCATGGGGATGTTACTTTGACATGTACCACCTCCCATAAGTATTGCCACAGACCGTGTAGATCAGGGGTGGGCAATTCCAGGCCTCGAGGGCCGGTGTCCCTGCAGGTTTTAGATGTATCCTTGAACCAACACAGCTGATTTAAATGTCTAAATTAGCTCCTCAACACGTCCTGAAGTTCTCCAGAGGCCTGGTAACGAACTAATCGTGTGATTCAGGTGTGTTGACCCAAGGTGAGATCTAAAACCCGCAGGACACCGGCCCTCGAGGCCTGGAATTGCCCACCCCTGCTGTAGATCATTTTATGGAAGCAGTATTCCCTGATTGCTGTAGCCTCTTTCAGTAGGATAAGGCACATTGCCACAAAGCAAAAATGGTTGAGGATTGCTTTGAGGAGCACGGGTTTGTTGTCCAATCCAGCATCTGTGTGATGTGCTGGACAAACAATTTGGTTCCATGGAGGCTCCACCTCACAACGTACTACTTAAAAGATCTGTTTGTAACATCTCGGTGCAGATACCACAGCATACCTTCAGGGGTCTAGTGGAGTCCATGCCTTAATAGGTAAGGGCAAAGGCAGGGACCAACATAATATTGAGCAGGTGATCACAGTGTTATCCCAGATTGTTGTATATACTATTACAGTGGTAGATACTTATATTAAACTTGGATTAGGTATCAAGTAAGGAGGTTGGCATATTTATAAAAGTAAACGAGAGATAGCTACAGAGTTACAGGGGAGGAGATTAAGGCTTGTGTCTGAAAGTGAAGGTTCCCAACCTCACAGTGTTAACTTGAAAAACATGAACATCCAGCATGAACTATCTGAAAAAATAAGTTTAGGTTCATAAAGTCAACGGCGCCACTGTGTACTTACATGACAACTAGGCTGCAGTGCCGATGGGGGAATTTTTCGGCAAGAGGCATCCAGCCACCGAGCTTGAAATCCCGTTTCATGCGCCACTAACAGCGGGCAAAAGCTGAGGATTACAGCGGTGAGAAAACCGATAACATAATCTACTGGAGCTTATATCACTCCACTCTTGAATTCTGGGTCAAGTTTTTGGTTGAATTCAGCAGCTATGGTGCTGTTTTTCATTCCCGAACACTGTGAAGCACTGCAGGGTTGACCACTGCTACCTAACTTAATAGACTCCACGCTCAAAACTGGTGGTTTTGGCTGAAGTGAGTGTGCTATTTATTTATTTTTTCTTAGGAGGGTAATGAATGGAGGAATAGTAATTTTTCTTTCAGTTGTGGCCCTTACAGATGGTTCTTTTGCTATTAGTCCTGCTCATGGCACAACCTGTCATCCAAGTGTGTGGCTGCCTGATTTTAACAAAAAAGGCAAAGAAGAAGCAGGGTCTATATTTGTCCAGCACTGCAGCCACACGTAAGGTGCATACTGGGGCAGAAAACAAGGTCACCTTTGCAATGTACAATATATTTCAATGAGTGACTGTCAAAAAAAAAAGGCTTCCGGATGAGGGCACACGCCGTGAGGCTATTCGTAGCATAGAAGTGCAGTTTTTCAAGAGCTGCTGATGTTACTCATGTTTTATTAAAGTCAAACAGTCCAGCTCACTTTTTTCCTGTTAGCAAGAAAGATAAAATAAATAAAAATCCTTTACAGCCAACTAATGCTACAACAACAACAAGAGCCGACACGAACGCTATGATATTGCAGCTTCTTTTCTCGATGAAGGACAGACTGTAACACAATCACACACTCCATCTGCAGTGACAAAGCCACGATAAGAGAAAAATAATGTTTGCCTTTCAAGGCCATTCATCTCTTGCGGTCAGTGCCTGTCACTGTTCACCTGTTTTTCTTCCCCCTGTTTGTGTTGAGTCATTTGAAGTTTGGAGGTATTGATGTTAGGGAGGCGAACAATTATTTCCAACCTGACAGCAATGAAAGACTCGCTATTAGCTGCTAATGGAATATTGATTATTAGAGACATTGATCGCTTGTATCATTTACTGTAATTAGAGCAAGAGACTAAGAATAAGGTACCTTATTTATAGGTTTTCTTTTTTGGGGGGGTATGGAAAGGTGCGGAGAGGGTTCACCCACTTCTGCAAAATCCAAATCTCTGCTATGAAGGTCACGCACAGCAGCCTTTCTTCGTTACTCTTCTTCTTTTATCCTGTTCTGTTAAATTTGTCCCAATGCTTTTTGCTTTTCAGGTCAGTGATTCTGTTACAAATACAGTTCTGTGCAGTATGTGCTAGACAATAATTTGGACAACTTCTTCCTTGTGCAGAGAGCCCCTGCTCATCAGATAGGCGATACCACTTTACCGAGGAGTGACCCCAACCTCTCAGCGCCAGATAAAGGTAAAAACACTTTGTTTAACATATTTCTTATGTCCTTCAAGTGTTCCCTCTCCTTCCAGGGAAACGATGCTATCTCACGTAGTCGCTCTTTTGCATTAAACACATTTTTTGATGCTCTGTTTCTTATTGTCGATTCAGAAATGGTTTATTTCTGATTCTATGGTGGCCCTGAGATGCAACGCAACAAAAATTAAAACAGGGCATTTTAGAAAACACAACGATAGCTGAAAAGAGCTAAATGTTCTTCACTTTATGATTCTGTCCTTTCAAACTAAGCTTTATTATAATGCAGGAACAGGTAATGGGTAATGTACCTATTAAGTAACTAACTAGGCAGCTCATTCTTTCTCTTAACAAAACCTGCTTTAGAGAGACAGATTTTAGGGCCAACTTGAAAGAAAGACAGAAATGAAATATGAAAGTGAGGTCAGAGGTCAAAGGTGACATGATATTTGGATGCAAACTATAATGTGACATTTAGAATTCTCATAGATCATTTAACTTTGAAGACAAAGTCAGAGTTCCAAACTAATGTAATATTTAGAATCCCTATATATCATTCCCTATATGCTGTCAATACAAACAATGGCAGTATGAAACATAGCTTTAAATAGCTCTATATAGCATTATTATCACAGATCAATAATATGGGAGGTCATATATAATAATATATGGAGAGGGCAGAGGTCAAATGTGATGTAATTGATAAGATTTTTGTCAATTTTCAACCAATTAACCATTAAATTGACCTCAAAGACCTTAGTGGATGTAAACCAAATTTTAATGGATCGTTAATGTGACCTCACTCTCCCCCACAACAAAGTTTTATCGGGATTCATTCAAAAAGTTTTTTGTGCTATTTTGTTGACAGACAGAATTGCACACAGACAAACAATAGCAAACAGAAAATATTGGTAACGAAAAACTATCCCACTATTTCCGCACCTTTTATTTTTGGAAACATCTCTGTGCTGTCTGAAATTTAGTGATTTCAAAAATCTTGCTTGTGTTTTACAAAATGTGTTTTTTTGTTCTTGTTGTGTTTGCACCCCAGCGCTACCGCACATTTGCCACATCCAGTTCCCAGCGCTTACCCATTAAGCACAAACCCCAATCACACACACACACACAAAGCTCTCTTCATTGATGCTTATGCTACTGTACAGAGTAGCATTTTATCTGTCCAGACATGCGGTATGTGTGTGTCACAGTTTGGCCACAGATTGGCTGAAGGCATTTTTATTTGTTTCCACACAACTGCAAACACACACATAAACACTCACATACACACACAGACTAGATTATAGCTTTTTCTAATCCATCATTCTGAAAGAGTGGAAAAAAGAGCAGGTACTATCCCTACAGTACTGATGGACACATGTGACATTCCTGTACGAGCGCATATGGATTAGTTCGGCCCACTCGTTGTGATTTAGCTCAGCACAGATAAAGGGAGATGCACATGTCTTGTATTTTCTGGGTATACCTTCCATTTGAGGCAGAATGTTAACAGCCTCAATTATAATTTCAAAATACTTAAACAGTTATTGCCGTTTCTTGCAGCAAAATAAAAAAGAACAACTCTCAGAGCAGTTCCTTTATATAATTATTGAGGATTTGCGGAAAAGACACCTTAAAAAAAGAGTAAAGAGCGGGGATGCGGTAGCTTCCTTGCTTGTGACTCGCACACAAACGCACACCTTTCCTTGTGATTCAGCTGTGATCTGTAAATAATGCAGCGAGAGATGCACAATATGGTGTCGAGACACCTACAGGCACATAACGTAGTAAAAGGTGTTAGAATTAACACGAAACCTGCGAGTGAACAAGTGGCATTATCTGCGATGAACCTTTATTTCTGACTCTGGAAAGTGTTGTTTATAATATAAAATTAGAGGAATATTGTTTTGCTTTATTTTTTGTTAAAGGGCTGCTCAGTAGTTGAGTCCAGAGTTGAGTTGAGGCCTACCACAACTTTCGAAACTGTGACCTAAGTACTCACTCACAACGCACCGACAGCAAAAACCCAGTTTGTACTGGCAAAATGCCTTAGTAAATCTGCCCCAAGGTTACCCTTTAATGCAAAGTTAGTGAATGATCTAACTCAAATGCCTCCAGACATTAAAGAAGAACTTTGTTTGCATTCTGACCCCAGATGACAAATTCAGAGTGCACAACTCAGTAAATGTTGAGCAAGCATGCTCCTGGTTGTGTTTCTAAACATTGCCCAAGCTGCTTTCAGACTAGGGCTATGGGGACTATTTCATTGAAGATTTCTCTTTGGTTTCTGGGTTGAAGACATGATTTTTCAACATGAAGTTTGAGTCAGCAAGTATCAAGTTAGAGGTCCATGGTGAAATCACAGATGGACGTGTGCAAGTGGTCAGGAGAGGATCTAAAAATAACAGGAGCCCTGCAAGCGGTCAAGATGTGACTAAAGCAGATCTATTTCATTCTGATAAGGTTTTTGATTTTTAGGCTAAGATTTCAAACATTTTTGATGCCAACATGTGCAATCAGCACAATCACAATTGTACAGGACGCACCAGAAATTATCACTAGATTGCATTTGGTCAGTTGAAGACAGTGAAGCTTTCAAAAGGCTGGAGGTAATTCAGTGTGGCAACAAAAGAAGGCCAGACCCCAAAAAAAGTGACAATGCCATTTTGAAGCTGGTTGGCCACAAGCTTCTTAAAACAGAAGACTAGAAAAACAACAATCAGAGTTCAAAACACAGCTTTTTTTGGATAATTTTAGACCAATCAAAAACTCTGAAAAAAATTGCCTATTCAGGACTTGTTATGAGCAACAACCCTTGCAAATGTCATGAGTCTCTCATGGAGGATTTGCTAAATCCTGAAGTATGTGGCATCACATTTTTCCATCCCCCGTGGAAATGATGAGGAGTGAAATCTGTCATGTGTAATAATCCAAACTGTTCTATTTTGGCAGATGGAAGTCATGTTGCATCTGATCGCTCATCACAAGCAGCTGATTGATAATTTCTTTTTTTAGGATCTTTAAATGGTTGAAATTGTCTCTGTGCTCTAAACTCAGCAAACACTTTGCAGTTTAACTTGTGGTCGTCATCAGATCGCACTCAATATGTTGTCAACAATCATACCATCCATTTAAAATGTGCAACATTTCACTGTGTTCTCATGTTATCCTGTGTAACCCATACCTTGTCATGTGACATGCCATGTTTTTGTGTACTCTAAAGTGAGGCCCGCTCCCAGTAGTTGGAGCCTAGACAGTGTCAAAGAGGGTATGCCACACTCCTCTGACTCTGGTGGCAGAATGCTATGCCCTCCTGTACCTCCTAGGCCACCGTACTCAGGTAAAAGGAAAAAAAAAAAGCTGATCCAAGAAAGTGCTCCAGTGACGAATGGTACTAATTTTCCAGTCTGACTTTTGACACCCGGTGCTTACACCGCTTTTTCTTACTAAAGCATTTTCCATCTGAGGCACTGTTTCCTGTCCTTCTGCTCTTACAGTGGCAGCAGCATTTCCTTCACTAACAGTCTTCAGTTGCTGATATTTCCCTCTGTAAGATGTTTGGTTCACGTGTGAACAAGTGTGGAACTCTCTGTGGAATTTCTAGATGGCTGAAGTTAATGCCAATTAAAATTCCAGTCAATTCCAAGTTTCTTGTTTTTTTCCGTTTTTTTTTTTTATTTCAATCCCCTTGACAAATGCATGTCATTACATTTCAACAACAGTTTTCCCCCCACCAACAGCTCAAACTCTCTTTTAGTTATTTACTTATTTAAAGATGCACCCGTGTTGACTTATTCCCTGGTGTTTCCTGATGTATTGCACTGCCCAGCAGCATAATAAGCAGATGGAGTGTTTTTCTTTTTCTGCCCTCTCTGCATAGTGCAGTAACAGCTGTTGGATGTAAAAACAGCTTAAGGCAGTCCAAAGGACCTGCAGCACATCAGCACTTATTTTGACTCATTGACGCTTTAAGCCACTGCCCCCCTCTTTGCTCCAAGTGTGTATGACTCATGCTGTGTCATCCTTGTGAATGGAAGAAAACACTTCTCTAATTTTTATTTTACCCCTCTCTCTCTCTCTCTCATCTGCCAGGCTCCTCGGCTAAAAACATGAGGTCACAGTCTCCTGTTCCCACATCCAGATCACCGCAAAAGGTTAGTTCCTTTTTTTTCCTTTTCTTTTTTACGTTTCTCCTTACTTTGCTGAGACAGCCTGACCCTGCTTAAGCTGGTCATAGTGTTAACAACTACTGTAGCTGAAACTCAATAGGGCAGGATAAGACACACCTAAACACCGGATTACAGTATTCGAAGGTGAGAGAGGAGCAGAGGCAGTCTGCTATACAACAAACTTAACAACCCATTCAGACGAAAACACTTTACGACTGTCCAGGGTTTAAGAAAAAATGCTCTGAAAGCGAAATTTCCACAAATACCAATCTTGGGGGTTTTTTTTAGGGTTTTTTTTTTATTTTATTTCTTCCTATTTTTTATTTTTTTGAAATGTTTTCTTGCACAATAATACAAGAAGGTGACATAAGGTTTTAGGAAATACAGTCACGTGAATTATCAATTTTCAGTGCTTAACAAATTTATTAGACCAACCCCCCAGTTTATGGTTTTTAAATCCACCACTATTCACATTTTTAATCAAAGTGATACTTTGAATACTAAAATTTGACATTTTTAATCCATCTAATTTTAAATGGAGTGTTTTACCAAAAAGAAAAGCAGGAAAAATAGTAAAGCGCATTAATTTTTGATTAGAATGCCAAATTGCAGTTATTTACTTACCAAAAAAATAGTTTGATGGTTGAATGTTACGCTTGATTAATATCTGACTCTTCGGAGAACTTGAGTGGGATAGCTCAAATTTGTAAAAATAGGAATTCAGTTTATTTGCCCAATAAATAAAAATGTCATTTTAAATTTTAAACATGTTTTTGACAGATTTTGAAAATATTTGTGTTTTGTTTTTATCACAGGTAAGGTCTAAGAATTTTGTTAACCATTGTACTTAATAACTTTTAGTATTTGATACTCCAGAATTATTCATACCCTTTCTTAGTATACAGTTCCGATTATTCCTCCAAATACTTCTTGTAGATGATCACATTGTTCCTGTCACCACAGGGGTTTTAGCCAACTTCTCTTTAACCACCTTCTCCAGGTCTTTAATGTTTTTTTGAGTTCGTTGGCATGAAGATGGTTGTTAGTTCTTGCTGCCCTAGAGCAGGTTTTTTGGAAAACTCCTTCGTATTTTTGTTGAGAAGCTTTATATACTGGTCCTGTTTCACGATTCTACTCACTTTTGCAAGGTTTCCAGGCCCATTTGTTGAAAAACCATGGGACCATGAACTGACAGTGTTTCTACCAACTCCCTTCAGTTTATAGCTCCCAGAAATGCTCTAGAAATCGACATAGCTTAGTTTTTTTGCCTGTAGAGAAATCCGGAGCACAGTCTGGGTGTGCGAAAATATCTGTGCTGTCAACGGCAATTTCCCTGATACTGAAGAAATGAGAGGCATGAATCATTTTGGACAGAAAAAAGTAAAAATGAAAGTATTGGTATTTTTATTGTTATGCTAATGATGTGAAATAAAAATGTATCTGGATTGTTCTATCTCAGCTACAATTCTTTTATCATAAGCAAAATCTCACCAACTGAGTTTTTATGTACAAGAGAATTTAAAAAGACTCGATTTTTTTTTTTTTTAGGTGGATGGATCATTTGGGGCACGAATGCAATAACATTAGCTGCAAAAATACCTGTGTCCATGCCTTTCAGTCCCAAGGCTTACACTTAGTAAATCCCAACAGTAGCTTTTTAACACCAAGAGTTTTTTTTTAAAGAAAATTATTTTTTTCCCCGCTGGCACAGACTGTTTGTAAAGCTGTCCCTTAATCTGCTCACTGTAAACACCGACTGAGCCCAACTGGGAAAGACCCGGTCCGACTGAGCTTCATCTGTTGGCAAGTTGAAATCATATTCATAATCAGCCTGACAGACGTTTAGCAGCAGCCTCGAGATCTTTTTCCTGTACTGGTATCCTCTAGCTAACCAGCTGCAGGGTCTTTATTCTACTCTGTGTCAGCCATGAGACTGGGGGAGCTTTGCATTACTGTTCAGTGAAACCATTAACAGCTCCAGCACTGTTAATGGTTTTCATGTAGTTTCATGTAAGTTTTTGTAGCTTTCATGTCACACCTGTCCCAAAGTGTCCAAAAAAATGGGACTGGCTAGAGGGCATACAGTGTATTAAGTAACTCTACACCTGGTAGAAACCAACTGTTATACTCTGAGTTAGAATTCAAGCTCTACGACGATGTCACTCTGCGTGCTCGTCAAAAATATGCAAAACCAGATGGAGTGATCTGTCAGTGAATTTAAAAGGAACCCCGACTATTATGACAGGTTACTCTAAAATTATCAAATTATCTCCACTACATAAAAAATACTACATATTTGAGAATAACTACAATTTTTTCGTTGTTCATTAAATCTTTGTTTTTTAAAACTATTTTGGAGCTGTGGAAGCGGCCATGTTTTTGCGCACACAATGCATTCTGGGACGATGACCTGTATTGGTTGTCAGCAGTATTGGCGCTTTCGTTTCAGCTAACCTGTTTTGTTTTTTATAGTGTAGCAACGGTATTAATTAACTCGCCTATTAATGACCTGGTTACAACTTGGTAGACCAGCACTATACTGGTCATGGAGGCTAACAAAGGACCAAAGAACATCTGGATTAAGACCTACAGCTTCAAAGTTTTGGTGCACTGTGAATCATGGCGAATGTAAAAATAACGATATTGTAATTTCACTGTATAATAAAAATTCAAATCTATTAATGTCTTTAGCATGCGGTTATGTGATACCATGGATAGCTGCTGCTATAAAATTGAGCTCTTTACAACAAGCGCTCTCAGTCACCGTCGCAGTTGCCATTGGCAAGCAGTTGCCACATAGACACCAGTAGTTTTCCCCCCACTTTCGCGTCCTTGTGTGACTGATAGATTTAGATTAGGATGAAAACAAAGTACTGGTTGACAATTTTCAAAATGTGCTTAAAAGGAAAACATTTGGCGTATTTTAATACCACATTATTATTGAAAGCACAGTACATATTTTAGTGCAAACATGTCTTAATAGCCGGGATTCCTTTTAAGTTTCAAAGCCTGAACCCTATTTGTTGTGTCTGTTTTTCCTTTACTATTAAAGTGACGAGACCTCTTTGTGCTGCAGTGAATGTTCCCCTCAACATCTTGAAAGAAAGAAAGTTTTGAAAGAGGTTGTTTTTTTTTGTTTTTTTTTTTAAAAAATGTTTTTTTTAATTGTCTCTGACCCCAAAGTTTATCTATAGATAAACCTCAATTTGTTTTTAAGCTCGGATTTATTGATGATCATCTTAATACCAGTCTGCAAATGCAGAAGAAATCTGGGAAAGTTTAACTAAGCAGTGAGGGAGCTTTTAATGAGGGTAAAAAGTTGTTTTGAAAAGCTGTCTAGTCTTCTGCTAGATGCTATCTTATTTGTCACAAGCGGGAGTGCTGAGCTCCCAGCATCGTCACAGGTGTGATGTCTCCTCACATGTGACAACTGCCACGTATGTGGCTGTTTGTGTGCGTTTCCCACCACTTGTGTATGAAACAGAAAGAGAGAGAGCGAGACACTGGATACCAAAGTGTGAGTGACAGCTTGGCGCTCAGCATGCTCTGTCAATCAGATTTGTGTGTGGCAAAGTGTGTTGGCACGTTTGTTTGCGTGCATGCTCGATGTGGCGATAGAAGAAGCCTGTAGCGAAGTGCCGAGTGCCCATCTCAGCACAGCTTGAGATGGATCCTCTGTGGACCTCCAGCGGGCCCCATTATCTGGCACATGAGCGCACCCATGCCAAACGCACACATCAGTCAGTGCAGCCAGAGGCCTATTACCAGACCACAAACCCCAGGACTGCAGTGAACCTGCAGAAAACACATGGTGCAAGTCTGACAGGGCTGCACTTACTCATCTCCAGAGGTGGAAAACTGGGTCAGGAGTTTAAAGTACTTGTCAGGATTGTATTAAATATACAGATTTTATCATGCTCGGACAAATGTGAAAAGGCTTGTGCAGTCGTGCATGTCAAATACATCTCTTTGTGCATGCCCCTGTGGCAGGAACAATGCAACCTTACTGATCAACTGTATACTTCACTAGATCCAATTATTTTCAGCAGATATAATGGCAGTGTGGTGTAATTGCTTAGAAAAACATTTTGATGAGTGATCGGATTTTTGTTGGAGGGAAGTGCAGCATATTGTGTTTTTTCGTCTCGGTGCACAGGCCCAGTTGATGGAGTGAAGAAAACTTGTCCTCTCATTCTGTTCACCGACTACATTTTTAAGGTTATTCATTGTTGCCACACAGCTGTGTTAGCACACGTGTTTTAGCCAGCGTAGTGGGGGGGAGGGGTCAACAGGTTAAGTGGTTATCACAAGCGACTCATGATAATTAAGACAAAACTTATATGACATATGTAATTTACAAAATATTTTTGTCATGCACTTAAGGTTTTGTTCATTTGGGAGGGAAACATAACCCCAGCATGGAGGTTATTTCATGGTGATGGTAATTGACATGGGAAAAAAAGTGTTGTTTAATATTGGTTATTAGAAAGTGTTACTAGATGAATTATCAGTTATACGTGGGATGAAGATCCTCAAAAATATCACTATATATATTCTTTTGGTTTTTTTTTTTATTGTTATACTTTTTAATTTCCTCTTCAGTAATACTCTGCTTCCAGGCTCCGTAATTCAAATGAAATTAAAAAAAAGAAGAAGAAAAAAAAATCACTGAAGTTGAAGGTGGTCAGTTTTTGTTTTTTTTATTTATAAAAAACAAAAACCCAATCTTCTGTTTGTCTGTTATTATATTTTAATTGCCCAGTTAATTGTTTACCAAAAGAAATTTCACACAATATCACAAGATCTTATCAGTTTTCTTGTGACTTTTTTCCTCCAGAGGTGACTTTCTTTTCAAAAGGGTGTTTTTTGTTTGTTTGTTTGTTTTTTTTAATTTAGGAACTGCTTAAAAGTTCTTTCACATCAGACAAAGAAACAGAGCGAATCTTTGTAATTAATAATCTGGCAAACAGCTAATATTTTGATATCCTTATTAAAAAAGTCTAAAAGTAAAATAATGATTACAAGTTTCACAACAGCTTCACCTCTTATTCTGTCTGTAGCTATTCTGACGTCAGTCATTGTGGGTTTAGTGTACGCAAACATTTAAGATCATTTTCTGTTTATTAGGAGTTATAGGAATGGGAACTTCCCATCTGCTCCCCAGATTGCCTATGGTGTACCTCAAGGATCCATTATAGGGCTTATACAGTCATGTGGAGAAGAAAGTATGCCTTATTGAAGTTGTGTTTTATGTGTCGGGTCAGAATTCAAAACTCTTCTGGGCCTTAGAAGGTCTTAAAAATAGGTACATACAAATCCCAAAAAGTTGATTCTTTTCATGTGGGTGTAGTGTTTTCAGGTGAACAGAATGAACTTTTTGGGACTTGGATGACTGAGTGTGCATCAAGACAGGCAAATACAAACATTTGATGAATAGCAACAAATGACATATTGCATTTTTCGTAATACTATTTTCCCTATAATCTCTAAACCACTTCGATTTTTATTTTTGTACAAAAACACAGATACTAAAGATTGATTTGATTTGGTAGTAGTATCACTGTTGTTGATGATATCCATGTCCCGTACTGGTAAAGCTATTTCTTTGTGCAGTGAACTACAGTATTTTTAAATAAAGTCTCCTATTCTTCAATCTAGACCACAGTGCCACCTTTCACCCCTTCGCCCACTGAGTGCCAATCTGCCAGTCTGGTCTCCAACTCCCCAGTTCTGTCCGGCAGCTACAGCAGCGGCATATCCTCCCTCAGTCGCTGTAGTGTGTCCGAAGCTTCAGGAACCGAGCTCCCCACAGGTGACCATCCGCCCCACCAACTGCCTCCACCTACCACCTTGCCAAACTCTGTCTCCAGTAGCTCGGACGAGCCCATCCGCAGAGAGAACAAGACACCGCCACCCTACAGTGTGTACGAGAGGAACAACCCCCGCAGGCCCGTGCCGCTTCCCCACAGTCTCTCCATTCCCCCACAGACGGACCCCCCAGCCCTGCCGCCCAAACCTCACCAGCTCCGCACAGGCAGCATGAAGTTGGATGGAACCGCCGACCCTCGAGTCCCCAGACCGAGGCCTCTGCCCAGGAAGGTGTCTCAGCTATAGGTGCTGGTTACAGAGCACACGAAAGGAGATGGTGGGAAGAAAAAAAACTGGCATATTTTGCACTTTTCTACATGGCACTCACTTTTTTTTAGAGACATTCAATTTGGCATTCCTGACCTACACTCCAGTAAAAGACACAAGCCTACACATTAACAGGCAGTCTAGAAACTGAAAAGCTGGCAGATAAAGTTTCTTTTGTATTTACTAGAGGGCATTGCATTGACTTTGACTTGGTCGTTCTGCACTTTTAGCTCTAGTACATACAATAGCTCACCACAGTCAGTTGTAACACCACACGTTTACCGAACACTCTAGAAAAACACAGTTTTGATAGATGTAATAATCTCAAATATATGTATATTGGTATATATGAGAATTGTTTTGCCTTAAGTATTGGAAACAGAGTCTTTTATCTGTGAGTCTTGCACGTTTTTTTCCCCTTAACAGCTCAGTATATTTGTATACTGTACGGCTAAAAAAAAAAGGTGCTAGAGGCCTCGAGTATGCATTTCATTGAAGTGTACGTAGTAGACAACGGTGTGTTCTTATTTTCATATCCACATAAGCAGTGGTACAAAAACCTCAAACTTTGAACTGATACTAACAAAAATGTATGGAATTCAAAAGATCTAATAACAGTGTTGTTGATTTTACAAATTTGACCGCAGTTGTGACCTTATTTGTTATTAATATGCAGTAATACAGAAACTCTGGCAAATGCAACTTTGGCACAATAATGAGAGCAGTTTTACTTCATGTGGTCACATTCAATTTGAAACCTCAGCAGACTTTTAGTGTGATTTGAAATTTAAAGAAACCACTCTGCTGCCATTCTTTCTTCTGAAATTCGAACATTTTTAAATCAGCGACTTGCTAAAATTACCCATAGTGACAAGAAGAGTCTGGACCAAACACATAGGTAAAGGTAGGTGCAGTTTCTAACGCAAGCTGGAATTTTTACAATGCCTATTGCCGTTAACGTGAACACATCCTATTCCTCCTGCATGATGTATATGACAACAGGGAGGGGGGGAGGGGATCGAGTAATGTGCCAAAGGAAACTGAACAATGTGCTGTCGAGAACCTTTTTCTTTTTCTTTTTTTAAACTGGGACCTGGAATCAAGAAAATAGGAGAAGCTCAGCTGCAAAAGGGTCTCTTTTTCCCTGTTTTCCTAATAAATAATAAACTTTACCCCAAAATCTAAATTAATCTTTAACCTACTGATAAGACGAAACTTTCGAAAAGCACAAACAATAGCTTGTCGTCCGCATTATGACCTGTACTGTTATTCTAAAGTCTTTATTTGACAAAGCAGTAATTGGAGCAGATTTTCACAGTCAGCAGTGACCTTAAAACACATGAGGAATGATGTTGTGTTGGGAAAATATTTACAAGCTAATCACTGACAAATATTTGTACAGTTGACGTCTACTTTCTGTTTAATTAAAAAGAGGACGTGAGTTGACTTCTCAGCACAACCACATCGCATTGCTGCAGTGAAGTAAATGTTCTGTGGCAGGCAAATCTCAAACTGTTTTGTAAAATGGAGACATTTTTTTTGGCATAATATATTAATAAATTCAATCCTGTGCAAAATGTTTTTGGCTGGGGGGCGGGAATGGGTAGCTTTGGTATTGTTTGGATATGTTTCATTTTTTGTACGGTTGATTTACTTTTTGATTTGTTGTGAATTATTTGAGATTAAATATTCACATTAATCAGCACTTGAGAACCTGTAAATTAAATGAGATTAATGTAAGTATGCCAAATATAAAATTTGTGTATTACAATTAATGTAAATACTGTGTTTTTAACAAAATGTAGCTATAACAATTTACAGCTTTGAATGTAATGTTGAAGCAGCAAATTATTATTATAAATGTTCAAACTTTTATGGTTTTGTGAGTGTAGAAAAACTGAGGTCATGCATAATGACTCCTAACTCATTTACAAGTTCAATAAACTGCCCTATGTCATATATTTGAGTGATTTCTACATTATGAAACCTTGTGGATGTACAACACTGTGCAAAAGCTACCAATCATTTCTGTATATTTTGCAAGCAAAATGGGAAATGGGTGCAGGGATTTACTAAAACATGTACAAACATATATAGAAATGCATATATGAAAAAATTTAAAAATTCCCCACTCGCCCCTGTGGGCGGTCAATCCTTCAAGCTTGGGTCCTCTACCAGAGGCCTGGGAGCTTGAGGGTCCTGCGCAGTAGCTGTTCCTAGGACTGTGCTCTTCTGGGGCCCGTTCTTCGTACGTCGCTTACTACATCCAAGATCAAATGACACATCCAAGACCAAACCATCGCGCTAACCGTGAGCTCGCTAATCCGGTTCCCCGAACACACCTGCTGTTGACGAT